CCCCAAAACCCCAAAACCCCAAAACCCCTTTCAGAAGAAGTTTCTTAGGCTGTTTGCTTTATCTAGGATATTAGGAGGGATCAGGCTTATGAATACATATTCAAGCTCTCTGAACCCGACTAAAGCTCTAGGAGATATTAACATCCCAACTAGATTACAGAGTTGGAGTTTGAGGGAGGATTTATTTTGATTAGTTTTAAAAGGATTATATATCAGAATTAGCGAATAAATTTAAATTTCTTGTTAGATGCCCCAAATTTAAAGCCTTTATGTTTGGTTACTCTTTTAGATTGTTCTCGAGCAAGTCTCTCTGTTTCTTTGATGAAGCCTAGTTGAGCGCCAGACCTGATGGGCTTTGTAGCAGAGCCACTGGGGATGTTCTCTTTGGCGTTGGCTGAGCGAGACTTGTTAGGCTTTTGAAGGTTTAAGGAGATGAAGACATCTGGATGAAGTCCAGGTGTAGGGTATGGGTCTCGGTAGTGAGGATATAAGGTAGGATTTTCACAGATTGTAGCTTCAAGTTCTGGAAGTTGAAAATGAGCATTTATAGTTTCAGTAATATTTGCCTCAGAAGCGATAGTTTTCGTAAGATTCGCGCGATATTTCAGTAAAGCAGAATACTTCGAAGATTTCTCCTTCTCTCCCTCTTTCACTCCCTCTTTCTGCTGCTCTTCCACTCCCTTCTTCTCAAGTTTCTCCCCATTCAATTTATGTATGAAATTCCATTTGTTATAATACACTCTATTAATCGTAAACCCGAGCTCAGCGCCAGTTGCCATGGTATCCAAGACGTTATCGCTCACCTCACTCCACACTTTCATGATCTTGGGATCCAAAGTTCCTTCCTGGTCGCTTGGTCAGGGCCGCTGCTGGTCAAATATGGCATCCTTGGCTCTACTGCCAATCCTGAGGGTCTCCTTCTGTTCGTACTCTCTAGCTTCTTGGAGCATCTCCTGTTCTTCTCTTCGGGCCTGAGCAAGCGCCCGTTCACGGTCAAGCTCTTCCTGGTCTTCTTCAGTGGGGGAATTTTCAGTAAGCATTTTGGGAAAGGGAATTTTAGTGGACCCTAAGTGTGCTATATGGTTCGATTAATTGGGCAGCATAGGGCTAGTGGAGGTCTAGGGGATTTAGACAAGAGTTTCGGATATTATGGGGTTGAGAGTTTTAGAAATGAGGTTATTATATTATATCATATCTTTAAAATAGGGGTTTTGGGGTTTTGGGGTTTTGGGG